GGCCCTATTGGTGGGGTTTGCATGGCGCCACCGCGCCCATGTCAGCACACCCATCACACGTTCTGTGGCCCCATTGGGGGCTCCACCGAAGGACCCTGTGGCAGGGTTCGCATCGCGCCACCGCGCCCATGCCGGCACACCCGTCACGTTTCGAGGCCCCGTAAGCAGCTCCGCCGAAGGCTGCAGTGGAGGAGGACAGGAGGCGCGGGGAGGAGCGGGACAATGGCGCGGAGACGGGCAGCGCGTCCCTCGTGCTTTGGCGGGAGTTGGTTCACTTGGTGTAGTGATGTGTACCGAGGGACCCCCGCCCCCGCCCCATTCCACTAACCGGAACTGCAATTACACGAAAAACCGAAAGACGACGACTTCTTCCGCGACGACTTCTTCCGAGACTGTTCTCGGAATACATCGGCGCGGAGGAGATGGAGGAGGAGGAGGATGAGGAGGAGGAGAGGATGGAGCAGGACGACGACGCATACGAGGAGGACGAGGAGGACGATGAGGGGGAGGAGGATAATGAAGGTGAGGCAGATGAAAGGATGGAGTAATAGGAGGAGAAGGAAAAGAAATAGGAGGAGGAGGAGAAGGTTGTCGAAATAAACGTTCGAGACAAGCGTCAGGAAGAAGTAGTCAAAAATAAATTGTCCATAAGAAATGGTTCGGACGAACCCGTCTGGAAGAAATCGCCCAGAAGACGGCGTCCAGAAGAACTGGTCTGGAAGAAGTGGCCAAGAAGAAGTCGTCTGGAAGAAGTCGCCCGGAAGAAGTCGCCCAGAAGAAGTTGCCCCGCAAGAAATCGCCTGGAAGAGGTGGCATCGGGAGACCTCTTTCTGATGAAGTCGTCTTGTCAGGTTCTTCGGGGTCGTCCTGGTCTCCGGGACCGTTCACGAGCGGATCGGGATGAAGCAATTGTCTTCCGGAAGGGTCCAGACTTTTTGGTTGTTTACCCAACGTACATTCTCTGGAGAGGTTTGACTGCCGATTCTGGAAAAAGAGGAGGACGAAGATAAGGAGGATTTGCCCGTGCCTACTGAAAGTTCTCCTTGTCGCGTGCTGTCCTGCTGCTGCTGGTGGTGTGGAGGAGGAGGATGCCGGAGGAGGAGCGGGTGCCAGCGCCTCTGCCTGCTCCTCGAAGCCACGGCCGGTGTTGGCCCGAGACTACTGGTCAGGGCGCGGGCCTCTTTAGAGGGCTCGGAAGCCTCCCGGCCTTCCCGGTGGTTTTCTCGGGGCCTCCCGCAGGCACGGAACACTTCTCAGAAGGCAGCGGCGCTTTTGACAGGATCTGCCGCCTTCTGAGAAGGCCTTCTTTGAAGCTCGGCTTTCGATCGCCGCCGACTTGTGTGTCTTCTAGATAAGATTGGATTTGAACCCGTCGTCATCGTCGCCAGTCGTCGTCATCGTCGTCCGCCGTCGTCGTTCTCGTCGTTGTCGTCGTCGTCGTCGTCGTCGTCATCGTCCGCGTTGGAGCCACGTGCCGAGAAGATTGTTGTGTCCAACTCCGCGGCAGTGCCACGTCGAATGCAATAGAGTTGTGTGGTTTGGCAACATTGCGCGTAACATTGAACTGTCTTTTGTTCGCCGGCCTGTCGTTGCCCCGTGGCGAACGTAGTGGCGCTCCATGTGTTCCCGCCCCGCGGCGTTGCCACGTGGCGAATCGAATGAAACCTTCATGTTTGACCCCCAGACGCTACCACGTGGCGAGTGCAGTGGGCAATCTGTTCGGTCTGCGCGGCATTGCCATGAGGCGAATGCATTTTGATTTCTTGTTCGCTCCGCATGTCGTTGCCACGGGGCGAGTGAAGTGGGATAGTATGTTTGTTTACCTCTCAGGCCTTGCCACGTGGCGTTGCCATGTGGCGAGTAGAGGAGAGTACATTTGTTGCCGGCCCGCTTCGTTGCCACGTGCCGAGTCGAGTGCCGGATTTCTGTTTCGCCCCGCTGGCGTTGCCACGTGGTCAGTACAGTGAAGTAGCGTGTGTTCCCCCCTCCGAACGATGCCACGTAGCAGGGAGAGTTGAGCGGTACTTGTTTCGCTCCCCCAGTGATGCCACGTGGCGAGTAGAGCGAACAAATGTGTTTCGCTTTGCAGGCGTTGCCACGTGGCGAGTCGTGGAGTGGAGCAGTTTGTGTTTCGCTCCCCCGTCGCTTCCACCTAGCAACCCGCGCGGAACAATATTTTTCCAGTTCCGCAGGCGTTGCCACGTCGCGAGGAGAGTGGAGTAGCACACTCGTTCGCCCCCTGGGCGTTTGTCACGTGGCGAATGCAGCGGGGTAGTTTTAATTTCCTCCTGCAGGCATTGCCGCGTGCCGAGTAGAGGGCCGAGGGAGGAGGGAAGAGGGCAGAGGAACGAGGATGAAGGGTGTGGGGGGGGGTGGTAGGAAGGAGGCAGGAGGGAGGAGGGCGGAGGGAGCAGGAGGAGGAGGAGGAGGTGAGAGGAGGGAGGGAGGAGGGAGGAGACAGGACGGAGGAGCAGGGAGAGGAGGCAAGAGGCAGGAGGAGGAGGGAGGAGGGAGGAGGGAGGAGAGGAGGATGGGGGGAAGGGGAGGTGTGAGTATCGGAATCAGGACGAGGAGGACGGGGAGTAATGAGGAAGAGACGTGGAGGACCAACGATGTCATCGCCACCTGGCGAGTGGAGTGGGGTAGTATATTCGTTTGCCTAGCTGGCCTTACCACGTGGCGTTGCCACGTGGCGAGTAGAGTGGAGTAGCATGAGTTCCTGGCCCGCTTCGCTGCCACGTGCTCAGGCGCTGCCATGTGGCGAGTAGAGTGGCGTACTATTTGTTGCCCCGTTCCCCGTTTCCGAGCGTTGCCACGTGAAAAGGACAGTGGAACAGTATATCTGTTTCGCTCCCCCGGCGTAGCCACGTCGCGTGCGCGAGCGGGCGCGCGCGCGCGGGCGGGCGGGCGAGCGCGCGGGTGGGCGGGCAGGCTGGCTGGCGGGCGGCGGCGGCCGCAGCGGCGGCGGCGGCGCCGTTGTAATCATCATCGTTATCAGCATTATCACCACCATCATCACCACCATCATCATCAGCATTGTTATCGTCATCGTCATCAACATCGTCATCATCAACATCAACATCATCGTCATCGTCATCGTCGTCGTCGTCGTCGTCGATGTCGTCATCGTCGTTGTCATCGTCGTCGTCGTCATCGTCGCCTGTCGTCGTTCTCGTCCAACGTCGTCGTCGTCGTCGTTCTCGTCGTTGACGTCGTCGTCATCCTCTGCGTTGGAGCCACGTGCCGAGTAGATTGTGGTGTTCGCTTCCGCGGCGTTGCCACGTCGAGTGCAACATAGTTGTGCGGTTTGGCGACGTTGCGCGTAATATTGAACTGTCTTTGGTTCGCAGGCCTGTCGTTGCCCCATCGCGAACGGAGTGGCGCTCTATGTGTTCCCGCCCTGCGGCGTTGCCACGTGGCGAATATATTGGAATATGTTTTCGCCCCCCAGACGCTGCCACGCGGCGAGTAGAGTGGGATTGTGTATTTTTTTCGGTCCGCGCGGCATTGCCGCGTGATTCTTTCTGCTTCTCGTTTGGTCCCCATGTCGCCCGGATGAAGTCGCCCCGGAAGAAATCCTTTCGGACAAAGTCGCCCGGATGATTGCGCTGCGGAATATTGCCACGTGATGGGTAGAGCGCAGGTGTTTTTCTTGTTCGTTCCCCGTGCCATTGCCACGTGGCGAGAGGAGTGGGTAGTATGTATGTTTGTCTTTCAGGTCAGGTCTTGCCACGTGACGTTGCCATGTGGCGAGTCGTTTTTCGTTGCCACGTGCTCAGACGCTGCCACGTGGCAAGTACAGTGGAGTACTAGTTTTCACCACCCACCAAACCACCCCAACCCAACCCGAAGGCCCAATTTTATCATCGATTTCCAGTGGGGGGGGATCGGGGAACATAGAAAAAACACATGGAACCCGTACCCCCCCAACCCGAAATTCGGGTCAAATTCGGGTCTTCGGGTTGGGATGGGGTGGTCTGGTAGGTAGTCAAGTTTCCGCCCCTCGAACATTGCCACGAGGAGCGGAGAGTGGAGCAGTATCTGTTTCGCTCCGGCGGAGGGAACAGGAGGAGGAGGCGAGACGCAGGAGGGAGGAGGGAGAAGGCGGGAAGGAGGAGGGAGGAAATGGAGATGAAGCAAGAGGCAAGAGGAGGAGTTAGGAGTAAGGAGGGATGAGAGTATTTGGAGGCCTGGGAGGAAGAGCGGGGAGGAGGAGGAGGAAGAGGAGGAGGAGCGAGGAGGGGGCCAGTA